TAGCAATTGCCTGCTCAGTATGCTTTGAATTGACAGTCTTTATGGTAATATGCAACCTAGGGAGGTAGTGTAGGATGTTGATGCATATAAGAAGTCTCATTTCTTCTTCATATTGTGTTAGTTGATTGTGTGAATCAGTTATCTTAAGACCCTTGAATTGTATGGTATTGTGGACTTTCTACCGGTCATGGCCTCTTGTATCATGTTATGACAAGAAAGGTGCTCTAAAATGTGCTTTCAAATAACGTGTCCCGTGCGAAAAGGGCGAAACTGTGCAAGGGAGACGGGAATTCGTTCCCAATTTCCACCTACTACCTCCAACCCCCTTACATTTCTTTCCCTCACACGAGGCTCGAGACATCTGCTCCTAGCATGGCCAGTAAGAGCAGGGCTCCTTCAAAACCTTCAATAGGTGGGAGTCCCATTTTCTGAAATAACAAGTTGGGACCCTTGAAAAAAAAACAACAAAAGAAAGAAAAAAAAGAGAAAGAAAGAAAAAAAAGGGGGTTCCAACCATCTTCAAGAAGAAAATAGAGCACCTTAAGCACAAATGAGCCCATGATTTTTGTTTTGAGAGTCCCTTGGTCCACGATTCCTTGGTCCTCTTATCACTATTTGTCGTGATGCCGACTCGAAACTAGTGTTCTCGCCGAAGAAGTTAAGAGATGACTTGTGTGTCGGTTGACCTCGTAAGCTGCCAAATGATCTAGTAAATCCTCTACCGACGATCGGGGATGCATGTTGCTGTAGAGGTCTGGAGAGCTGCATTGGTTTGAGTTAGGTTTGCTTGGGGACAAGCAAATGGTTAAGTGTGGGGGAGTTTGATAGACCATCATTTGCACATATTTTGACCACAATTCTTGAACCGTTTTGAGAGTCGATTCTCGTGTTTTAGGCCGATTTCACGCTAGGTTGTTTGTGTATGTCATATTTCAGGACTTGGCATGGATATGGAGGCATGGAAACGAGTTTCGGGTCGAAAAGTGGAAAGTTGGAGCTAGAGGAACTGTCAGGCAAAAATGCCCGGTCAGGCACTGAAATATCAGACCGGGTAAACGAGAAGGAAGGACCGGGGAAAGACGCTTTGGAGGCCAATGAAGCAGAAGGGGCCCCGACCAGAAGGCATAAATATCTAATCGGGTATTCTGAACCTCGATTGTGTATTTTCCCTTCCTCACTCTGCTGGGTTTCAAAATACCCGGCCGGTCACCTGAAATACCCGACCCGGTATTATGGCCGAGTATCGCGATCTGTCCCTTTTGAAGGGAAGAAAGCCTCTTTTGAGAGGGGATCCAATTTTTAGAGAAAGAAAGCAGAAAACCTAACGAGAGAGCGACGAACAGAATTTCCAAGCGCCTTAAATCGATCTCCAACACCATTGGAGCTCGGGAGAAGCTTGGAGAAGTGTCGATTGATTACCAGAAGCAGATTTTCATCCTTCACGGAATGATTTCCGGATCTGAAGCAGATTCCCCTTCTCTCTCTATGGAGTAAACTCTTTCACTTACCTGGGTATGAAGAACCCTAGATTTGTATGTTAGGTTTGGTTGTATGAACCCAAGTACATGTTCTTTGATACCGATTATATTCAATTGAGGCATGATTTTCTGAATTGCATGAATCCAAATCAAATTTCTGTATTTTTGCTTTGACCTAGAAAGAGAATATCTGCCTAGGTTGATAGAGCACCCTTAATTGAAAGCAGTGAATTGACGACTTTAGTCGAGGAGTCGGTTCATTATTATGTACTAGATTAACTCCAGTAGAGGAGGTTTGGTATGTTAGGGCCTCAGTTTGTTTACTCCGGTGGAGGTTAGTCGCCAGCTGGGGATTCAGATTGAGAGGGTCTGGAGACCTTTAGTCGAGACTTCAGACTACCTAAGAACCTTCCGCAGTATAATTATCATTAAAACTGGACTGGGTGAATTATAACTTGGCTTAACTGCAGTCTAGGGGGAACCATATCTGGGTGACCTCTCTCAAACTTGGAACACAACCTTTACTGCTTTTGTTTGCTAGTTTAGTTGGAACTTCACTATAGTTGAACCGCTAAATAATAAGAATCTCACGGAGTAGTCATCACACCTAGGACCCGGGTTGACATTTAAACCTAAGCCCGCTATACTACGCATTAGTAGGTGGTTACACTTGGCCACTTTCTAGTGTGATAGTACAAGCGAGTCATGAATTGATGGACGGCAGCGAAGGTTGCACTGGCTCTGCTGTCGATTCTTCCCTCCTCGTCGACGTGTGTGGCGGGGATTCCAGGCAATGGCGGGTCCAGAAATTTTATATAGGGGTGTCCTCTTTTAAAAAATTAATTTAATAAAAATAAATAAGAATTATAAAAATTAATTAATTAATTAATTAATAAGAAATTACCTTAAAGTTCACTATGTGTTTTCATATTTCGAAATAATTGTAGAATACACTTGGTGTCTATACTGCTCAAAAAGATAGTCTATGTATATTCTACTAGACAATCATTCACGAAATGATTATATATTCAATTTCTAAACTTGTTCTTGATGTGACCCAAAGCTTGAAATACTCTTTCAACACTTGTCCTACAACAATAAAATCAATGCAAATAAGGTAGTTTGAAATTAATTTAATTATTAGATTTTGAAAATAATTAGAGATCGAAAATGACATTTTACTATTATACAATGTTTAAAATTGAACAACAAATGAGTTGTAGCCTAATAGAAATTTTTATTATTAATATAGTGTTCTAGGTTTTAATTACCCAAAATTACCACATATATTCACATACGCAAACTAAAAATGTTAGTAGGATAATCAATTTTTTCAAATTTCAGGGGTGTCTTCCCCTATCAATTATAATTTTTTGTCCATGCATAAATTACCACTGGGGGTTAGAAAATCGTTTTCCCAAAATTTAGGGACACAGACCTCCTCAGCACGATGTCCGCTAACCCGTGAAGGTAGTTTACTTGCTTACTTGTTAAAAGCCCATTTATCGCACTGGTCTCAAAAAGTAAATTATCGTATTTTCAGGCAGAGCACCAGTAAAAGCTTGAATAGAATGCCTATGAAAGTCACGTTTTTTTCTTAAGAAAGATGGCGCCTCTCAAATACCCTTGGGTTTGCCCCTGATTCCAGAGACAATGAAGTCGAGTTCATCGTCGCATCAACCAGCATAGGAGGATCGAAGACGATGCCACCTTTGAATCCGCTGGATCTGATGTCATATTCCCAGATTTCCTAGCGCTTCATCTCGCCATCACCGATTTTCAACTTTGTGAGAAAATTCCTAACATAGAAAACCTTAACGGTTTGGGCAGCTAAAACGTTCAAATCGCTTAGCATCAACAACTCCCCTCTGTAGGAGAGGTCGGCGCACCTTCAGGCGAGGTCGTAACAGTCTCCTACCAGGCCTTGATGTTGGAGAGTATTGCTGATAGGAAGGAGGGAGACCAGAGCCTCCGCCGGTCTCTGTTGTAGAGCTCGGGGACGAGGGGGTTAGAGAGAGAGGGATGAGGAAATTGGAAATGATTGTGGGAGGTTAGGTCGGGCAGGTCAAGAGGGTAGGGTTAGGTTAGGTTATTATGAAGTGGCAGGTTTTTATGATGTGTCGGGTCGGGTTTTGATTTTTTTGAGTTAAAAATGGGTGACTGGACATTTCTGCTAGCCACATCATCACTTTAACGGACTCCAATAACGGAGTCTAACAGAGGTTAACGAAGAGCAAGGTTGTCAAACCGGATTATGCCAGTGTGCCGGTTTAGCAAGTGGAATGGTTCGACCGGTTGCACATACCAGTTTGTGCCGGTTCATGCCGGTCAATATTACAAATAAAATTATAAATATTCATACTTAAACATGACATTTAACGTCAATACCTAAACATTTATACTTGAATCCAACAAATAACATCAATATTTAACTTTTATACTCATAAAATAAATAACAAAATAATTTTTATCAATTAAATTCACTAAAATAAGGTAATTTTACTTAGAGATTCGTATATCGATCATGCCGGTCATACCGGTGGTGTCACGCCGGTTTTATGACCGATACCGGTTGAACCAGGTACAACCGATGGCACGCCGGCCGGCATGACAACCATGACGAAGAGTAACCAAACTTGAAGTATATAACTAATTTGAGTGACTACGGATGGAATAAATCAATTTTAGTGACAAACGTGAACTTTTATAGCAATTTACCCCATAAATTTGAAATGCGTACATTTCAAGCACATTTATCCAACACACCATAGCACTAGGGATGGCAACAAAACCCGAACCCACGGGTATCCACCCGACCCAACCCGGTCAACGCGGGTAAAACCCGTGTTGACGGGTTTTGGGCCGGGTTCGGGTTTAAACCCGCTACACTATTCACCGGGTTGGGTTTGGGTTTAGGTAAACCCGCCCCATGGGTACCCGCCCACACATATAATTACTTTCCCGGTAGATTTAATATTCTAAATAATATATCTTCTTTAAACAACTAATATTATTTATGTTTGTGGAGACATGTATAATTTGTTCTTTCTAATTGTTTAGAATGAAGTTGATATTATGGAGTGGAGAGTGAAGAAACTTATTTGACGAGGAAGAAGATTTCAATTAATCTTGTTGTTTATAGATGTTTATCTTTAATTTTGAACAATTTATATTGATCATTTGCGGTTTGTTTGTATGTCCTAGATTGATGTTTTTTGTATGAATAATTTGTATGAGAAAATTGATGTTAAACTTTTATTTTGAAAGAAATTTGTTATTGTAAATTTTTTACCACAAAAACCCACGGGTACCCATGAACCTGCGGATACCCAACGGGTTGGGTTGGGTTTGAGTTTTTCAAACCCAACGAGTTTTACCCCGGGTTTTTTTGACGGATAAACCCATGAGTTTGGGTTTGACCCAACCTGACCCATTGCCATCCCTACATACCACTGTCTACCAAACCAAATATTCATGGTCATTGTCACCCATGTTAATCTCTTCATAGTCCATTCCACATTTAACCTGTACAAATCGTTAACTTGGAAAATTTTACTACTGGTATCTGGTTGCGTAAGATTATGCAACCTGGAATAGAACCATGTCAATTAAGAAAATGTTACACAAAATACAAATGCCCATGAACTGGCTTATGATTGGATCACCTACTAGACTAGTAGTGCTGTGTACTACCATATATTTAGCGGTTCAATAGTTAAAGAATATCTGCTCTAAGTAGTAACTTTCTGGGGGTGCATTTTCGGCTCTAAGCCTCTAAGTAGTGAATTTCTATGGGCTGCGTTCTCGCCTTCTGATGACTACTCCCAATTCCGTTTTTCACATACCTTAAGCCATCCCCAACTTATTACATAACGATTCATATGCAGCGCTACACACCTTGAACTTCTCCTCTGCAACAGCCTGTCCCAGGTAAATGATGGTTTAATAGCCCGGCATGTGGAGGGAAATCATGAAATACTCGCAGTAAAGATGATCAACAAAACATGATAGAGCATAACGAATTGCGGAAAGGAAGTACCTTTGAAGAACCCTGGTGGCGATCAGGATGCCATTTCAGCGCACATGTTCGGTATCTAAAAATTCACAACTCAGAAAGAAGTTAGTGGTAGCTTTATGTGCACACCTTGGGGGAGTCAAGGAGAGCAATGCAGAAGAGAACTCACGCAGTTTTCACGTCTTCAAGTTTCAGTGGACCTGAAGCACTCAGTCCAAGGGTACGTCTTTCTGAAACCAAATCTAACTCCGAACTACCATCGGATTCTGATGAGGAATTGTAATCGTCATCCTCGTGAATTTTTCTATGCCTCCAGAAATGCTCATACGATCGGTTCCGCCGAGGTTGCTCATCATTTATGAACGACCAATAGAAGTTTCGGTCACCACCAAATGCAGATCGGAAAATGGTTTCAACTTCAACATCTTCTTCACAAAAATCAAAACCTTCTGTGTACAGGGAAATTGATTATTTTCTGTAAATCTTTGAGCAGCTTCAAAATAGGGCAATGATCAATCATATAGAGATAAGATAAATGATTTGACAACTGGTTGTCAACTCTTAATTCAAAGTACGATAAGTACATAGTTGAGAAGCACTACATTGAACTAGCAAAAATCCTTTCTAAATTATCGAACTGTGAAGGAGGCACAAATGAAGCTTAGAGTCCTTACTTTTGCCCCAGCGTTTGCTTCTAGCATTGCTGTTTTTGGGTCCCCTAGAATGTTGATTTCTAAACCATGAAGGTCCTTTACTTGAAGATGAATCTTCATCCTCAAAATCATCATTTACACCCTGCAAATATAAAAATAAGGATATATCACCCACATAATTCTGAGGATTACTTGAGGACAAAGACATAAAAGCCACACAAGGTTGAATCCTTGGGGAACCATCACCTAGCAGAAGCACAAAAGGGGGAAACAAATTGCACCTAATGAAACTCTAGCACAGTTGATGTTTACAACGTGATATGCGTAATTTGGGTGGCATACATAAATGAGTCACTAAACACGACAGGCCCAAAAAAACATATCTGAAATTATCTAAGGAGTTAACATATATGACAAGAAAGAAGAGCACAGTTAGAAACCTGAAATAAGGAGTCTGCATAAGCCCTAATATTGCGTAATAGTTCTTCTCTTCCATGCAGCTTCCTATGCCTCCTCGAGCTGAAGTTTGGTCTCTACATAGAGCGATTTCAGTAATCAGAAGTCTGCCAGAGGCATTACTGTCCATGTGCGAGGAAAAGAGATGCCTTAGTATAGATCACAACACGGAAAAGCAAAAAGTCTTTCCAGTACTATTTGCTACAAAACTGATTGAATATTTGTTCAGAGGGCCAGTAAACCTTTGGATGTGCTTCATAACCGAAAGAAATAAACAACTGATGAACCTGACATAAGCTAAAAGAACAAAAAAATTAGCAAGACACAGACATTACAACTTAAGGGTTCAAATACTAGAAGAAATTATGTGTTTGACAGATTAACTAAACGTCTTTGTAATTGACGAAAGGGTCATTCAACCTACAAACAAATCAAAAGTACTCATCACTTTGTATAAGGTAAGGGTGGCTGTAATTCCTTATGTCTACTCTGATGATAGACATAGTAGAACTAAACTCTATCGAATTGGGTCACTGCCAGTCCCTGAATCTAGGACAAACCTTCGATACTATTATCTGCCACATGCACAACCATTAACAACCAATTACTGCTCCCTTTACCTCATTCAGGAGTAACAATGTTTGATGCAATGGAGCAGAAGATATGGGAGAAGATAAATTCCAGGCTAGGGTTCGAAACCTAAAAGCCAACATAGATTACAATCTAATTCTCGAGTAACTTCTTTACAAAATTCACTCAATTCCGTCCCTATGTCTTTCAATCCAAATTCAAATAAGACCAAAAATCAAAATTTTCACTCGCCTCAGTGAAAACCAACGTTAGCAAGAATCTGGGAAACATGCCCTGCACGCCATCAAGTAAAAACTGAAAGGGGGGATATCGTAGTTCACATTGAGAAAGGGAATTCAGAATTGACTCACCGGCTTGAAATCATCCAAAACAAATGGGAAAAGAAAAATGACGAAGCTTTTAAAGGTTTTCTGCAGAACTCACAGAGTAGCTGAAGTTGAAGCCGCGGCGTTTGCGTTCGAGGACATGGGTAGAATGAAAGAGGGCGGTCCGAAGGTGGAAAGATGTGCTTTGAAGATTGGAAATGGCTGCTTTAGCAGCGATGTTCATCGTAAGATTATTCCGCCAATATTTTACGGGGTCCTGAAGAAATCTGCTGGGGAAGGCTCGACGAGGAAGAAGACTCCGCTTTAGTTGGCTCGCTCATACATCTCCGGGACCGGCAGTCAAGGCGAAGCAAAGGGGATGAGAAATTAGTATTTATTAAATTTAAGCCAAAATTGTGAACGGTGAAATGGGTAATGGTGTTGGTGACATTCCTTCTAAACGACGGTAGTGCATGCTCTTCGGATTTTACCCTTTTTCTGGTTTTCACATCTTCTTCTTTCATGAATAAACTTTGCATTGAAGTCAAACGGGTAAATATAACTTTTATATAGGTTTGATGAGTGGAATGGTTCGACCGGTAGTACAATTAGTTTACAAAAGAGTTGGAAGAGACTAGTTCCCCTACAACAAGATGCAAGAGTTGCTCCTAATTTCCCATCATACCAAGTTAGAGCGAAGGAAACTTCATAAGTTTGAACTTGAGACAAGGTATCCTAAGGCTAGGATGCGAGATAAGATGAAAAAGAGTGATACAAGGAAGCTAGCTTCCATTAACGAAAAGAAGGATCTAGGGAGTGCTTCAAGCCACTCACGGAAGAAGATGTTGGTGTAAGGAAGTTTGGTTTCTACAAACATTATCAACCATCCGAAAAGTGTTTGGAGTCGATAGCCACGGATGAGGCAGTCGAGAGACTTCATAGTCTCCACCTTGGACTTCACCACAAGTTTGATTACTACGAAACATCAAGGGTGGAGAATGGAGCTCCTCTCCCTTAGCTCTCTCAATGAAAAGTCCGGCGAAATGAATTCAAAGACGCGCTAGTTGGGTGTCAACCCAACAATTTTGGTTTGCGTATCTTTTTCTTTTCTTTTGAATAATTTGTTGAAAGTTAGGGATTGATTAGCTTAGATGATGAATGATGGAACCTTATCCCTTGTGGTGTCTCATTTACTTGGATGAATGTTGCATTTACATGTTTGCAATTCTTAGGTGTTGTGAAAAAAAAATTGATCCTTGCCTGTTAGGGGCAAGATCATGGTTGCGAAGCCAAAGATCGCGGCGGAGATCTTTTGACCCCAGACCGAGATCTTGCCTACGCCTATTTTAAGGTCAGATGCACTTTGCATTCATGTGCTCTCTTTCCCGGAAAAAATCCCACTGTACACACGTTCTTAAAAAAAAATCCCAAAATATATAAGTTATAAATTTTTTTCTCAAAGTACACATGTTTGGCATTCACCGTTTTTGACAAACGCAGTGAAGGATATCACCGCGTTTGACAAAGACGGTGAATATTTCACCGTTTAAAAGAAAAATTGTGACGTATTCACCGCGTTCATCTAAAACGGTGATGTATTCACCGCGTTTGATTAGAACGGTGAATACATCACCGTTTCAGTTAAAAACGGTGAATGCATTCACCGTTGTAGGGTAACGCGGTGATCTTTTCCCACGTTTCCCACCCGTTGTACAATATGATTTTGGTTAATTTTACTGTCTTTAAGCTAATATATACTTATTGTAAATTGTAGATATGGGTAAATTCAAGAAGTTTCGGCTTATTATTCGGTGGAATGGAAGGGTGACAAACTCTGACATAGACATTGATTATGAGGACGGCGAATCCACTATGCTGAAAATTGAGTCCCGATTCAATTTTCAAGAACTCTGTGATATTTGTGCATACAGGGTTTGTACGAGCGGACAGACGAGACTTGGCAAAATTACTTACCGGTATCCAGACATGAGTGCTGGCAGGGTCGTGTACCAAGAAGTTGTCATAAACGATGATGACGCGGTTACGATGATGTTACAGTTCCTAAGTGATAACCAAGTCCGGCTTGCAGAGGTGTATGTTGAGACCGAGGCGGTCGGTGAATCTCATTCTCACCAGTATTCTTATGATGATGGTTTTGCAGGAGGGTACGGATGGGGTGGTAGTTCGAGCAACTACGAAGGCGGTGGTTATACAGGAGGTTACGGATGGGGTGGTAGTTTGAACTCACTTATCTCACTCGTTTGGACTCGGAATTGAGATCTGTAAAATTCTATGTGATCGTGGTTGATTTTCCCAACTTTTTCGTGTTGAGCTTAGATACTGATTCTTGATAAAATTATCCAGAATATTCATTCGGCAACTTAAGTGCGTAGGATAGTTTTTAGACAATGCAGACTCAAATCACAAGACCTAAAAATGTCAAAAACAACATGGATAGTTCACTACAATGATAAACACGATAAATTCACTCATTTGCTTCATTTTGGCCCCCATCTCTACCTCTTCCTCCTCGTCCTCCACGACGTCCTCGACCCCTTCTTCCCCCCTCCGCCGCTGCTTCTTGGCGGGCTCGCTCAACGGCTGATCGCGGATTTCTCTTGACCCGAGCCCCAACTGGGGTTACATATGGCGGTGGCGGTGGTGGTGGCTGAGATGGACCGGTAGCTTGACGGTAGATCGGGGGGTGCGGAGTTTGTTGCTGCGGGGTCTGATACATCGAACTCTGTTGCTGATGTTGGAAATGAGAGAACCCATGAGGGAAAGTGTCCGGTTCCTGAGATGGATCATGACTCGATGACCCTCCACCGACATCCGCTGCATGTGCCCACTGGTACTCGAAGGGTTCAGGGAGCTCGGTTGCTTGAGTTGTACGCACCTCTTCAAACGTAGGCAGAGGCTTGCGTTTGCTCCTTCGTGGGGGCTCAACCGGGGGCACAATGGGTGCATCATCACGGAATGAGGGTCGTGCCGGGGCAGGAACGGGAGGATAGGCCACGACATCCCTCATTTGCTCTCTGGTACAACTCAGGAGGTTGTTCATGAGTCGGTTCAACCAAGTAGTCTTCCGCTCATCCATGGTTGGAGCACTTTCGAGAGTGTACTTGGCGTGTTCCAAACCATCAACCTAAGGAAAGCACAAAATATATCAAATTAACTAAACCTTAAAATAAATTTATTTTAGAATGAGGGAGATTAGGATGACTTACCAACGAACCCATCACAACACCTTGCTTTGACACCCATCTCATGGTGAACTTCCGATACCACTGCATGTACCCATCGGTAGCCCATCGGTCTCGTCTCCAGCATCCCTTGCACCACCCATTGGGCTCGATTCTCCCAGATGTTGATGTAGAACTGATGCTTTAGGAGCCAGTTCTTTGCAGCGTGTCGGAGGTCGATAGCATGAAGCTCCCTGAAACCTTGAGGCGGGTCTTGTGGAATTGGTTGCTCCATTCGATATTGCCTCAAGGATCGATCGGGTAGGTGCCATTCCACGATGTGCCAGCAGATCAATGGCACCTTGCACAACCAAGTCTCGTGATCCAGAGGGTGTCTAAGATGATGCAGCTCAACCACTTCACGTGGATATGGATCCCATATAACCTATATTCATTCAAAATTCGGAATTAACGACCATTTACATTGATAAAATTTAACTTGTTCAAATATGGACAAAACATGATTACCTGATTCCACCAAGGTTTATCTAACTCAGAACGATAAAACAGTAATGAATGCTCAGGTTGATGGTCATTCGTATTTGCTCCTATCCACCTTGTAAGTAAAAGTACGGAATCAATTTAATTGAAATATAGCTAAGCATATAATAAATTAAATTGGTCTAAGTACGGAATAAATTCAAATTAAATATAGCTAAGCATATAATAAATTAAATTAGTCTAAGTACGGAATAAATTCAAATTAAATATAGCTAAGCATATAATAAATTAAATTAGTCTAAGTACGGAATAAATTCAAATTAAATCTTGCTAAGCATATAATAAATTAAATTAGTCTAAGTACGGAATAAATTCAATTTAAATCTAGCTAAGCATGTAATAAATTAAATTAGTCTAAGTACGGAATAAATTCAATTTAAATCTAGCTAAGCATGTAATAAAATTTAAATTGGGCTAAGTACGGAATAAACTTACTTGACACCGTAGGGGGGATTTTGCAGAAAGTTTAGCTCATCATCGTTTCTCCGGTATGGACATGGGTCGAGAGGTGCGAACATTGGAAGATGCTCCCATACCCATAGTTGTAGGATGAACATCGCAGCACCAGCTTGCTTTGCCCCAACTTTCGAGCAAGTACACAGCTCCCGATATACGCCCGCTAGCACGGTCAATCCCCAACTCTTTTGCCCGATTGCATCACAGTCACCAGTGAGCATATCCAACCATATGCCTTGAATCCGGTTCGACTTGTCGGGGAACAGAAATCCACCCACCAAACCAATGAGGTAGATGCGGGCGTAGCGCTCCACTTGTTCTTCCGGAGTCTCGTCATTGATTTCCACCTCAGCCTGGATGTGAGTTACCAGCCACGGGACCGACACTTGCCCCGCATTCAACGGTGGATGCCCCCGTCCTTGAATTGGTGTCGTGGTCGGCATGTCAAAGCCCAAACGATCACGAATGAGCGGCCCCCAACCTCATTCAGGTTTGGTAGTGGAACCAATGATGGCATCTCCAGAAATAGGCAGCCCGGTGAGGATCGCCACGTCTTTGAGGGTGATCGTCATTTCCCCCTCCAGAAGGTGGAACGTATGGGTTTCGGGACGCCATCGCTCCGCCATTGCCGTAAGCAGATCGTTGTCGATTTCGATCCGCATGAAATGCCGCAACATTCCCAAACCGGTCCTCTCTATATAAGGCGCCAACCTTGGATGCCAAGCGGGCAAGTTCGTGGTCCCTTTATGAACCACGATAACAAGTGATTCCTACAAAAAATAGGAAAAACATCAATTTATTAGATTAAATAAAACAAAATAAAACCTTAGAAAATAATAAAATAAAACAAATAAATCATCAAATTACCGGATTGTTATCCCAAATAGCACGGGAGCGATGAGCTTCTTGATCGGTTAAGAGTCTCGCATCCCTTGGGCCATAATGGATATACAATCGAGGATCGTATATCTCGACACCCATCTATAAAAAAGTAATGAAATCAGAGATTGTTTGATAAAAAAAGACAAAATCAAATTGTTTCGAGTAAAAAAAAAACAAAAAAATAAACCAAAAACCTACACGAAGAACCTCTTCGTCCATTTTTTGGCTGAAGCCGGACAAAGGTTCGACGGGTTGAGGTTTGTAAGGGACGGGAACTTAGCGGGACAGGGGCTTTAGGGTCAAACTCTAGTAATTCTTTCTGATGTGGAATATCGGACTTAGCCACAACCACAGAGCATACTTAGAAC